TCCGAGCCAGCTTCTGTCCCGGTTGTGGAAGAGCCTTGTGTACCCACTCCTCCCGTTACCGCGGACGGCACGCCCACAACAGCTGAGCCATCTGCAACGGAACCAACAGCAGATCGCCCGTCCCTTGCAGCCACGGAGCACAGTCCATCGTTTGCGTCCTCACTTGCGCCCTCCTCTTACGACGTCCTTCCATCTTCTCCCGAATCCACGGTGTCGAACAAGCCACTGCTGGACGGTGTTGTTCCTCCAACGCCGGCCACCGAGGGTGAACCCAGCCCGGCTGCTGCCACTTGAATGGACTTTGTATCGACCTGGACATGTACACTAACCTTCTTTACTCGCACGTGAGTGGCTTGTCATAGCATGTTGTATCGGCCGCTGACAGTGACAATCCCGCTCATGCAGTGGTGTAGTGCCGCTTTGCTAGATTCCTAATCACTCGTCTTGTACAAGGACTATCACTCCCCCATGACCTCGAAGCTCATGCGCTAGGCCTCGACGTACTCAATTCGATGATGTGTTATGATGATGATCCTACGTCCGGGCGCAAGGACAGGGCACCGCCCGGTCGGACGTCCCATCGCTGTGCGCTGTATTTTGTATCGTTTCCTCTCACCTCTCACGTCTGTGTCGCTGTATAGAACCACGCTCCACGCGTGTCGCTTTGTCTGTATAAATGCGAGTGATTGTTACACGCTCGACGGAAGACGCGGGTAAAGTGGGAGAAGACATTTCGTACGAGGCGCGACCACCTGACCGCGGTAAGTGAGTTTGCCAGACCCTCTCGATTGTTCACTCTCCTTGACCTCCTTGAGCTGAAGGTGAGATCACGGTCAACGACGAGAATGGGAACTGCCATGTCTGCAAACTGCTCATGCCTGTGAACTCCATCGCCCACGCCTTGAAACTTACCCATGGCTAGCCGTACTCTTGCGCCATTGCACCTCTCGTGTGCCTGCTTTTTACTCACGCACGAGTAACGATGGTCTGCTTCGCACGAAAGCATGCTGGGCCTGTAAGCATAGTCGAGTTGCTCTCTCTCAGGCGGGGGCAGAGAAAACGCTGGAAGGGACGGGCCTGCGAAGGCCGAAGCACAGGCGCGGAAAGTCGCCACGTCAGCTTAGCGCGCGCGCCTACACTTATACCGGCGTCTTAGCCGAGGCACTTCTCCACGAAACGGCGTACTTTCTGACTTCTCGTTCCCCGCGACATACTCTCCTTCACCACTCGCTCTCTTTCGCATAGAGCTCTCGGCTTTGCGACATGGAGAATCCGTGGACAAGGACAGGCGAAGAAGTGCTGCAGTATTATTCGGTGGACTCTGCGAGAGGTTTGACGTCGGAGACAGCTGCGAAGCATGCAGAACTCTACGGGAAGAACGGTGCGTCGCTCGCCAGTGCTCATATGGTCATGTACTGACATGCAGTAATGTGTAGAGCTGCCCGAGGATCCACCAACACCTCTGTGGGAGCTCATCCTCGAACAGTTCAAGGACCAATTAGTGCTTATCCTGCTTGCTTCTGCCGTGGTTTCGTTCGTACTCGCGCTCTTCGAGGAGTCCGACGGTTCAGCATGGTGGAGTGCGTTTGTCGAGCCCCTGGTCATCCTCCTCATCCTAGTCGCCAACGCGACTGTCGGTGTCATCCAGGAGACGAACGCGGAGAGGGCTATTGACGTCAGTGATTATACTACTCGCGCGTGTCGTCCTCGTTGCTGAACCCTCCGCAGGCATTGAAGGAGTACTCTCCGGACGAGGCCAAGGTGCTTCGAGATGGTGCGTGGACGCGCATACATGCGTCTGAACTCGTTCCCGGCGACATCATTTCCATTGCGGTCGGAGACAAGATCCCCGCGGACTGCCGGCTCCTCTCCATAGCTTCCACGAGCCTTCGCGTCGACCAGGCTATCCTCACTGGAGAGAGTACTAGCGTTAGCAAGACCGTGGACGTGGTAGCGGACGCCAAGGCGGTGAAGCAGGACATGACCAACATTCTCTTCTCCGTAAGTGGCCAGAAGCTGTGCAAATTGTTCTGCGTCTGATGTCGTACCATGCGCCTGCAGGGTACGACGGTTGTCAACGGCAAAGGCACGGCGGTCGTGGTATTCACAGGCGAGAAGACCGCTATTGGTGACATCCACAAGTCTATCTCCTCGCAGATCAGCGAGAAGACCCCATTGAAGCGCAAGCTCGACGATTTCGGCGACATGCTCGCGAAGGTCATCACTGTCATTTGCATTCTGGTGTGGCTCGTCAACGTCCGCCACTTCTGGGATCCATCCCACCATGGAGTGCTCAAGGGTGCCGTGTACTACTTCAAGATCGCCGTCGCTCTCGCGGTCGCGGCTATTCCCGAGGGTCTCGCTGCTGTCATCACCGCTTGCCTCGCTCTCGGTACGAAGAAAATGGCTCAGAAGAACGCCATCGTTCGCAACCTACCCAGTGTAGAAACTCTGGGTTGCACAAACGTCATCTGCTCGGACAAGACCGGTACGTTGACCACTAACCAGATGAGTGTGTCGAAGGTGCGTACTCACCCTGCTGCATCGAACGCGATACCGACGTCATATGCGTAGTTCACCGTGGTCGACATCTCCGGCACGCCTCGGGAATTCCTTGTCGAGGGCACTACCTTCGCGCCAGACGGGTCGGTTACCCCTGCTGATGGCAAGTCGTCCGCTGAAGTTCGTTCAGAGCCTCTGCTTCGCCTGGCTGAGATATGCGCCATTTGCAACGACTCGAAGATCATCTATCATGCGGTAGGTTCGGAAGTTGTCAGCGTTTCTCGCATATATTGACTCGCCTGCAGGAGAAGAACACGTACACCAACCTCGGTGAGCCTACCGAAGCCGCCCTGAAGGTTCTGGCGGAGAAGCTCCCTTGCCCCGACGCCGAGCTCACGAAGAATCTGCCGTACCTCTCTCCCGTCGTTCGCGCGAACGCTGTCAACGAATACTACGAGCGCACCATCCCTCGCCTCCTGACCTTCGAATTCTCCCGGGACCGCAAGATGATGTCTGTCCTCGCGCAAAAGAACGGCACTGGCATCCTGTACGCGAAGGGCGCCCCGGAGTCCATCCTTGAGCGCTGCACATCCGTCCTCGTGAACGGCCGTGCCATTCCTCTCGTGCCTCAGCTCCGTGATGCTATTCTTCGCAGCACCATTGCCTACGGCAACCAGGGTCTCCGCACTCTTGCACTCGCGTACGCCGACAACCAATCCCTTGATGTCGCGAGCTATAAGGCGGAGACGACCGCGGAGTATTCGCGCTTCGAGAAGGACCTCACCTTTGTTTCGCTTGTCGGCATGCTTGACCCCCCTCGGCCTGAGGTTCGTGCGGCGGTTTCGCAGTGCCAGGCTGCAGGTATCCGCGTCATCTGTATCACCGGCGATAACAAGGGCACGGCGGAGACCATTTGCAGGCAGATTGGCATCTTTGGGGAGCACGAGGACCTCACAGGCAAGAGCTACACCGGACGGGAGCTCGATGAACTTAGCCCCGACGAGAAGCTCAAGGCCGTCATGCGCGCGAACCTCTTCAGCCGTACGGAGCCCGGACACAAGAGTCAGCTCGTTGACCTTCTTCAGAGCCAAGGTCTCGTGGTTGCAATGGTGAGTATGCAGTCACACCACCGTTCGCTCCTTTACTGAGACATCGGATAGACCGGCGATGGAGTCAACGATGCGCCCGCACTGAAGAAGGCTGACATCGGTGTCGCGATGGGAAGCGGCACGGACGTTGCGAAACTGGCGGCTGACATGGTTCTCACCGACTCGAACTTTGCGACCATCGAGCAGGCTGTCGAGGAGGGCCGTTTGATCTACAACAACACCAAGCAGTTCATCCGTTACCTCAGTACGTACTACGCGACTGTCCGTATGCCTCTGCGATGCTGACCACGTTTCATAGTCTCGTCGAACATCGGAGAGGTCGTCAGCATCTTCTTGACTGTGTTGCTCGGCATGCCCGAGGCGCTCATTCCGGTACAGTTGCTCTGGGTGAACTTGGTCACAGACAGCTTGCCTGCGACTGCTCTCGGTTTCAACCCGCCCGACCACAGCATCATGCGTGTCCCTCCTCGTGACAGCCGTGAACCCATTGTTGGCAAGTGGCTCTTCTTCCGGTACTTGGTTATCGGGGTGTACGTCGGCGTCGCGACGGTAGCCGGATACGCATGGTGGTTCGTCTTCTACTCCGGTGGTCCTCAGATCTCTTTCTACCAGCTCGTACGTTTTTCCGCACGCTCTACGCGGTCGGGTGTTGATACTCACCGCTCGTTAACAGACCCACTTCCACCAATGCTCGAGCATGTTCCCGGAGATTGGCTGCGAAATGTTCACAAACGAGATGTCCCGCAGGGCGACAACGATGTCCCTCTCCATCCTCGTAACTGTCGAGATGTTCAACGCCATGAACTCGCTCTCTGAGAACGAGAGTCTGCTGAGACTCCCGATATGGAAGAACCCTTTCCTTGTGGGTGCCATCGCACTGAGCATGGCGCTCCACGTCGCAATCCTGTATATCCCCTTCTTCACCGTGAGTCAATGTCCTCTTTCATCTTATGTCTCGACATCCATGCTGAGCGTTACCTCCATAGACGCTGTTCGCCATCATGCCTCTTAACTGGGCAGAGTGGCAAGCTGTACTATACCTCAGTGCTCCTGTGCTCCTCATCGACGAGGTGCTCAAGTTCATAACTGTAAGTCTGCACGCTCGCACCCTTTGAGGATCGCCCACTGAGAAGCGATCAACAGGCGACGTTTGTCTCCCCACCATCCAAGTTGAAGGTGGACTAGACATACACTACACATTCGTCTACGACATCAGGGACAGTGTAATGACATGTAATGATCCAGCGTAATAGTAGAGATATCCAGCCTCTAACATATATACACACCGTGTCCAGGTGGACCGTGGACCACTTGCCAACCTCGGCAGTCGGACTGGGTGCGGTAAGATCGAAATTATTAAGTTTTGCACAGGGAGGGGGTTCACACATGTGCCCCGTGGCTGAGTTGGTTACAGCGTCCGACTGTTATAGATGTGGTGTTGAGACCCGAATTACGTAATCGGAAGGTCGTGAGTTCGAGCCTCACCGGGGCAGAGCGTTTTTGGTTCTTCCTTCCTTTGAAGGTCCAAACTTCAGGACTTGATCTCGTCGCATCCGGGGCTCAAGGTGTATCAAGAACTGGAAGATTGAAGTGCGCCCTTTTCTTCTCGTGTGAACCTCCATAGTCCCAATCGGATGGAAGTGCACGTCCATAAGAGGTATGTCAAGCGCCGATGGCTTTCTCGGCATTACCCGGAGCATCCGTACCAGGGAGTACTTGGGTACTTGGCTCTTTAAGCTGTCTTGTCTAACACTGTTGAGCAGCTTCCTTCATGTGAGTACTGCTAGCTAGGCTGGGCTCATATACGTGAAACAGCAGCTTATCACGGAGTCCAGTAGTGAGTCATTACACTGAGGGGCACCTATCGGACCGTCGTCTGCCATTGAGTTACCCACCGTGACGATACAAGGTAAGTATCACATCAGGTTAAGCGGTAAGTAAATCCTTAGAGCGTACGTAAGAACGCACCTGCAGAGTGATCGCTTGAAAGGTGATTGCTTGCTGCTTGATATTCAAAGTGTCCGCTCACTTGCGCCCCGAGGCTCATCGGACGATGACAAGAGATGCACCTTGTGGTCGTCAGTCTTCTTGGGCGCATGTTGCGCGGCAAGCAGATAGCCGTGACTCCTGCTTGCTTATGAGGAGGAACTCGTAAACCGCGGACCGCCTACAACCTCAAGGATCATCGATCGCGATGATGTTTACGGGAGAAAGCGTCTTCCAGTCGGTGCGCAGCATACCGTGCGTGCGGGGCGTCCGACTCCTACATACCTCTCGTGGATGAACCGTTCGTGCTCTATGAACGGATCATGCATGCAAGTCTGCGTTGGAGTACTTTTGATTGTGACGGGATGCATGGAAGACCTGGATCAACGCCTCCGTCGTCATATGCGAGTCGGAGAAACACCGGGGTTCGTCCGCGCTACTCACAGGCTCCATGATGTTTTGTAGGAAGATGGAGTACAGTACGCCGGGCTACTCAGAGAAGGCTTGCGGTACAAATGCGACTCCTCGGACTAGGCTGGCGATTTTGCATACTGCATAACACTGCAGCAGGGGCCACCCCGAACTTCCGAAGACGGCCAACAACACGCACGCATACGACCCCGAGAGCGGTATCAAGCTTCGTGCAGACAAGCATTCCGTTCCGGACCAAGGTCAGCCCGTGTCTCTTGGCTTGTTAACTTCACCTCCGACCTTTGTAACTGGGGTGCCATCAAAACGCCGAAGCGACAATATTGACAGAAGATACCCGCACCGAAGTAGCTTGCCGAGGTCATCACAGGTCATCATGCATATTGGTGCCCGTTGACAGCGCTACATAGCCGCTAACTCCAGCCACGTTATGTGAGGCATTTTATTAGCATTCCGACCCGGTACCCGGGTGACATCGTATGGCACTAAGCACTTCATCCGGGGTACGTACTTGGTGACAGAGATAGCACAAGGCTCCTGCACCCGACCCGGCCACGAGCACCCGCTAACGCTGTGAGACACCTTCAGAAGTTGAGTACATACCATGACACGCGGTTTGCCTCCCACAGACACATAACCCTGGCGCAACGACCGACACGCGACGAGGTGGCAAACCTGCAGAGCCTCGACCCTTCCGTCTGCGTCTTGTGCAGTCTTGTCACTTGTGCGCGCCGGTAATCAAGCAAAATCCCACTAGTGAGATTTTGCAGCCCAGATGCATCACGATGCACCAATCAGTTTCCGCCTGGAACGTACGTGCAGCTCGGCAAAGTATAAAGTGCGTATTTATGTACTTATGTGTGTAAGTACGAGGAGCGAGCCGAGCTCCCTCTCCCAGATCTGATGCCACCCGTTGGGCGGCGACAATAACGCTTCGTGCGCCTCCAGGCCTCATGCCCGGCGGTGCCGCCCCGCGAGTCGCGAGCAGCTTCAAATTCGTGCGCGCGTGGAATGTTCCAATCAGCGGCGCAGTTGTCGGCGAGTTACTTATCAACAGTGGATAAGTGTACGCACGCATCGAGAAGGCCTTGTCGGAACGGATATGAAGGTCTTGTCTAGAATCGGAAGAAGGGCAGGCGAGCGGCGAGCGGGACTTGTGCTCGGCCTCGGGCTCTGTACCGAGCTGCATGTCGAGGAGCTTATGAAGGGGCGGACCGCCGTCCGCATCTTGCGAGGTGATGACGGGATACGTCTTGGTGACCCAGCGCACGTCTGCGTGGTATATATCACGGATACGCTGTAACGTATAATATATAGATCAAGACGAGCGGCGAGGAAACCCTTGTGAGAGCGCGTAAGTACTGTACAATGCAAAATGCAAACGGATCCAAAGTCCCACACAGGTCAGCACGAAGAAGCACAGTGTATAGCCATGAGCGGCCACGATGCACTAGGCGTAACCTCGGGGGTTCGAGCCTAGGAGGCGCATCTATCGCCATATGCGGCATACGGCATACGGCATACGGCATAGCAGGCTTGTCACCGATCAAACCTAGACGGCGACTTCGCTCGCAGGGCCCTCAGTGGTACGCCCACGGCCGTGCGGGTGGGTAGCGTGCTCCTCGGGAGGCACGACGTCGAAGCCGCTGCGGCCCAGGTCAACGGGGAGGACCGCCGTGTCCTCGAGCGACTCCTCAGCGAGGAGCGTCTGCGTCTCGCCCTCGTCGTCCGTGGGCGCTGCAGCGGCCCGCTCGGACGCGGGGCGAAGGAAGCGCGGGGGCGTAACGAGGTGGTTAAAAAGGAACTGTGAGATGATGTCAGCACGGACAAGATCCGAGAATGCTGCCCATGCGATAACGTGCTCACCGTGCCGTATCTGTAAGACAGCGCCCGTTATGTCAGTGTTTACGCATGCAGGGTCGGGCGGAGTATGCGATAGGCACTCACACGAGGAGCGCGAATCCGGCGACCTGCAAGAGGGAGACGGGCCACACAAGCACCTCCCACCCGAGGCCTAAGCTGACGATCCAGATAGAGAGGGTCCTGCACGTGTCAGTGAGGCTGCGAGCGGTCGCACTGACGTGGCGAGTCACGCTGAGGCCGAAAAAGTTGAAGAGCGAGATAGAAAACGCGATGGCAAGACCGGAGTAGAGCACCGAAGGCGTGTCAATCATCTGGTGCCAGCCGCGCGGAAGATCAAAGAAGGGCGAGATAGACGCGTAGCGCGCAAGGAGAGGCATCGCAAGGACGATGCTGAGCGCGCCGAAGAGGCCTTCAAACCCAACGGCTACGAGCGGCGCGACGGTATAGCGACTCATGATCTTCTCTGCATTGCCGGTGGGAGTGTATCAACGATGAGCAGGGTCATCCATCATGGGAGTTGAATGAGAGACTGACCTTCCACGACGAACTGGGTAGCCGTGCTGTGTATAGCCAAGCATCAGCAGTGTGTACGTACCACGGGAGAAGAATATGTCAGCAGACGGGCCAAGACAGGGGAGGATATGCGTGGTGGCCGTAGGAAAGAGCCTATATGAAAGGAGGGAAGGGCAAACGTACAAGACTTGGGCAAACAGAATGAAGAACACGCCTGCGGAAGAAGGTCAGATGACATGGAAGCAGACTGCGGACGATGAAGGTTTGACTAACCGACGAGGACTTTGGTCACCTCAGGCTCCTCGATAGGCTCCGGGGGCGGGATCTCGTCGAATGAGTGCACGGGAGACTCTTTGACGGCGTCCTTGACCAACGAGCCGCTGAGTCCGACGAGAGAGACACCTGCCATGACGGTTATAAGGGAGATCCATCTATGGAACAAGAGTGAGTATCTTCTGCCAGACCAGAGTGCGGCGGACGGACGGTCACGCTACATGGAGGACAATGGGTGGGAAGCAGGGAAGAGACTCAACTGGTACAGCCAGAGACGCCTGCGGAGGAAGATGACGGAGAGGATGCCGACGAAGAGGACGAGGGCGCCTCGGGTCATCTGGTAGATTGAAACGGGCGTGTAGAGGAGACCGACGTTCATTAGCTGTAAATCCGGAGGGGAGCAGGCGCGCGGGAGAAGAATGCGGACGGATGTCATGAGAAGGCAGAGACAGAGCAGGCAGGCGGGCGTACCGTGGTGCCGGTGAGATCGCACGCGGCGGGGAACCAGAGAAGGAGGAGTTTCCAGCCACGGAGGCGTGCTTGGGGGATCTCGGCCTTTGCACCGGCGGCAGGCTCCTCTTCGGAGTCGGAGGGAAGGCGCAGCGGCTGGGTCTGGCGCCTGGCGCGTACGAGAGAGTAGATGACGGGAAGGAAGCCTGGTGACAGACACGTGCAGCGCGCGAATGTGAGCGCAGCGCATGCGCAGAGGCGGGGGAATGGACGTACAGAGCATCTCTCCGACTAGCGCGGACGGTTACGGCGGGTCAGGGTGGGATGCAGGACACGGGGGGAGGACGCACGGAACATCTGGAGAGTCTGCCAGACGGGCTGCTCGTACAGCACACGGTTTGCCGGGACGGGGTCGTCGCAGTTCTCGACGCATTGCATGTCCTGTCCGGGGACGTGAGCTCGCGGGCCCGCCGCTGGGGGGGACGACACGCACCTGCCACTTGCTCCAGAGCGAGTTGCTGGAGCCCTGCGGGAGAGTGAGCGGCGCACGTGACGGCGGGGGCGTGACTGACCGTGATGAGCATGCCCGCGATGAGGACGGGGACGTAGAGCGAGGACGGCATGGCGGGCGACGTGGCGGGCGGGCGTGGCGGTCGAGCGAGAGCTGCTGGCGGACGCAGCGGAGCCCGAGGCGGAGGCGCCGGGCGAGGCGGGGTCACTCGCGCGTGGCAGCGGCGCGCGTCTCTGCCCGCGTGGAAGGCTCGCCTGGAAGACGGCCGAATCAGGCAGTGACCGGGGAAATAATTAAATAATGGGGAAACGAAGAAGGAGATGGGGAATTCTATTCTCTGGCTTCGCTGGATGTTGGTAGGATCACCCAATGTTCGCCTACTTATATCGTCTCCGGGGCCTTCGTCGCCCCCTCCCGCCCCCCCATGGTCCACCTCGTCCTCTCCACCGCACGGGGCAACTCCGGGAA